AAAAAAAAACTATTAAATCAAATTAATTATTTGTGTATATCAAAATTCCGATCTTCTCCATGCGGAAGTGATTGGGCATTAATTAACAACATTTTTAGAAAATTTTTATATGATTTTACAAATTATTTAATATGCATACAACTTCATATATCATTTAATAATTAAATTTTTTACTTCATCCTAACTTGTAATATATACATTTTTAATCATTTAATAGTATGTAAAAATTATTAAAAACATTATACGAAAAAATTATCTACATATCATTACTTTTTGTTCATGTGAAAATAATTAAGGAATAATTTTTGTATATAATTATTTCATATAATATTTAAAAGTTATACAAAAATATTATTAACATATCACTACCCTTTCTCCACATCATTAACAGTCATGACATGTGTAGGATATTTTAGTGCCACACCTTTAAACAGTGGCCCGTGTGACGGGTGTTGCCCGGATATTCAGAGTTAACGGCAAATTTTTTGAGAAATATGAATAGTTAACATTTTCTGACATTAGTACTTAAATTAGGGATTATTTAATCCAAACAAAATCTGAAAAGTCTAATTTTATTTAATTTAAAAGTTAGAGGGATGATTAATTAAAAAAAAATAGAGGGAGTTATTTTAATAAGCTCAAGAAGTACAAGGGCAATAAATCCCTTTCAGCAATGCAATTTTTTGAGAAGTTATTTTCAAAGTGAAAGAAGTAGAAGTTGGGAATAGTGTTTTAAAAATCCGATTGGATAGGAGTGGCCGCTTGAATCTGTCTAATTGCCAACTAGTAGCTAGAATGGGCCAGGTGGACACCCAAATTCGTTTGGGCAATATGATCGTCCAGACCTAGTTGAACCATGTAAACTGTCTCACCTGGCAGACTCGATAAACTTGTCAGGCAAAATTTCTTTGCTCTATAATTTTGTTTTTTATTTTTTTTCCACCATTTTTTTTTTTTTGCTTTGTTACCCCTTTTGCCCTTCTACCCATTACAATTTCATGGTAAAAAAAAAAAGAAAAAAAACAAAATTTGAAGACAAATTGGCAAAATTAGGAACCTTAACCTAAGGGCTTCGACTCTTCCTCTCCAATCTCCATTGTTTCTCTAGACAAATTGGCAAAGAATAAACCTAAAAGAATGCTTCTCTAGCTCTTTTGTTTGTTGATTCTTGCTACCATAAGGGAGATCAACATTTAGCGCATCAACTCCACCATGCCTTCATCCACCAGCCTTCATCATCCATTTGAGTTTGTTGCCAACGATGGTTCTTCTCCTCAACAACTCAGCCTTGTGTTGTTTGAGCTAGCAAACCCCGATTTCAACAAAAATCTCCTAGGCTTCAACTCTTCCTTTCCACTTCTTCAATCCAACTCTTGTAGTGTTTGCTACCACACAGGAGATCAGCCTTCAGCGCATCACCTCCATTGTGCCTTCATCCACCAACCTTCATTGTCCATTTGAGTTTGCTACTGGCAATGGTTCTTCTCTTCAGTGGCTCAGCCTTGTGTTGTTTGAGCTAATAAAACCACGATTTCAGCAAAAATCTCCCGAGCTTCAACTCCTTCTCTCCACTTCTTTAGTCTAGTTCTTGTAATGTTAGTCCCCCTTCTACTTCTACTCAATTTTTCATGATCAAATTTCTTGATTTAATGGTTGTTTTAGCACTAAATTTTTGAACTTTTTTGTTCTTGCTTCCTTCTAGCTATTAGTAGTGTTGTAACTATAATTCTAGCAGTTTTGCAGCTTTTATTCTAGCTATACGAAACAATAGCAGAGGTCTTGACTCTTGAGGTATGAAATTATTTGATTATATTCAAATGCATGGAATGAGAATATTCTAGAATACATAGTGAAATAGTTGAATTCATATATATATATATAGTTATTGCCTTTTGTATTAATTCTTTGGCCATTAGTGATAAGTAAACAATTGCTAAATTCCTTCATATTTTGTAAAATCCAATTTGTAGTTTTTGTTTGATTACAACTATAAAAACAAGTTTCAGTAATTGGTACATATCTTATTTTAACTTGTGAATTATTATAATTTTTTTAACTGAATGGTGATTCAAAATTAAATTCTATTTTGTTCTGAACTACTTTAATGATTTTCTTTTATTTATTGTAGAATTGCAAAAAATATGTCATCCTCTACATAGAATTCAACTGCTACATCTTCCTAATATTCAAGAGCTAAAAACAATGCAACATGGGAGCATCGTGTTGAAGTTATAGAAGGCATAAAAAATAATTAAATGTTTGCACTGCCAAAAGACATTAAGAGGAATAAGCATTAATAAAATGAAACAACACCTTGCTAGAAAGAGAGGAGATGTCAAAAAGTGTGAAAGGAGCCATTTGATGTTCGTTATCAGATGCAACAGAGTTCGAAGGAAATTGAAGAAAGTATGAAGCAAGCACAAAATCTATGGGAAGATTATCCATTTGGACATTCTGGGGGAGATGCACTAGATTTGCAAGAGACCCCGAATTTTTCTTCAACTCCACAATCTCAAGTTAAAGGGAAGGGGTTGGACATTTCAGCAAATAAGGGCGAAAAAAGGAAGGCAAGTGGGATACAAAATTTCTTTGCCCCAAGAACCACTTCTGTAACTTAGTCATCAATTAGAAGTCCATTGGTAGATTAAGATGTAGTCCATAAATATAATTTAGCTATTGCTAGGTTCTTTTTTAATAGTTGTCTGCTTATAAATGCTATCAAATCTCCTTACTTTAGCCTATGCATAATGCTATTGTTGCTATTGGTCTTGATTATAAGACACCAAGTTATAATGTCATGACTTGCAATCCATTGCATACATTAAAAAAGGAGGTCCAATTGTTGGTTAATTCTTATAGAAATATTTGGGTAGAAACTAATTACACTATTATGGGTGACAGTTGGCAGATAAAAAAGACTAAACAATTAATTAATTTCTTGTTTGTTGTGTTAGAGGAATTACTTTTGTGAAATCTGTTCATGCCTCTGATGTAGTTAAAGATGTTACCATGCTTTGCAATTTGTTTGGGGATTGGGCCAACATGTTTTGCAACAACATTCGTTGCATTGAAAAGCATTCATGAGCATAAGCATGACTTACAAGCATTGGTGACTAGTTTGGAATTTAAAGAGTCTAGATACTATAAGGATCATAAGGCAAAAGATGTTGTAGCTATTGTTTTAGATAAAAAATCTTGGAATAATTGTGAGTTGGTTGTGAAAATTATGGAACCACTTATTTACTTGCTTAAAATTGTGGATGAAGATGAGAGGCCTTCACTTGGATATGTTATGATGGCATGTATAGAGCTAAAATGGTTATTAAGACTATTTTGATGAATAGAAAATCTTTGCACAAGCCTTATACAAAAATTTTTAAGGAAAGATGGGATAGGTAAATAGGTAATAATAAAGAAAGAGAAACATGTAATGTACACAACATAACAAGGGATTTCATTTAGGTAATTTTTTACCAAATTGTGTTTAAGTTCGCAAAATAACTGGTCATTAATTTCTCACTTACATTAAGTGCCCAAAAGTACACATAACCACACTCAAATTGCCAA